CTTCTGCTGGGGACCTGCGACTCTACAATTCATTTGTAGGTCCAGTATTCCTTGGAGAGCTCCATACATGTTGGTATCAATCTTCCCCTGGATCTAGGAGCTTCACATTGCAGGGACCCCAAAAGTCAAAAGGATGCACTCCACTCCTGGCTCTTTTATGTTGATCGCATCATGGAAAATAGTTACATCTCAGCTGCCAAATCAATGAGAACCTTAGCCCAGTCAAGCTGACACAAAACCTTAACTATTACACCTCCCATTTCATGTACCTAACACAGGAAAACCAGCTACGGTATCAGGATGATTCCATGAAAAGGCGCACATAGTGAGCAACAGATATCTCCTACTAGGAAGCAGATCCTCCAGCCCAAACAAGCCTGCAGAATTGGCTGACATCTTGACTACAAGTCTAATAAAAACCACAGAAACAAAACCAGAAATTGAGACAAAACCACTCAGCAGCTAAGCAGCTAAGCTAAACCTACATTTCAGGGTGATTTTTAATATAAACAATCAGAAAAAGATTATTCTTTTCACATGTTAGCAGCTGAGCATTGAAATACAAATTTTATTCAAATAAAACCACATTAACTACAAGGGAACAACAAAAAAATTTTGTGGAAAAATCTAATCGAAAGATAATGGAATTTTTACACAAACTTTTTGAAGCCCCTTCATATCCTGCATGTTCAAAATTACTGTCAATGTCACAAATTTAAAGCTTAAGAAACTTACTTGAAGATAACTTTTACTATTATTATTAAGGGCTTTTCATTTATATACCTACTCTAGCAGGCAACCAAATCCTAGGGCAGATTGCAAAAGACTATAGTTTTGTATTATTAAATGGTGGCAAATAAAAAAAAAAAAAGGAAGAAGATGGAAGGAATACATATTAAAAAGAAATGGTCAATGTCCAACCGTTTCAACAGATAGCGTATGACCAAGAGCCAATGACACTGAAGGAAGAAGTCAAAGGTTCACTGAAGGCACTGGCCAAGAACAAGGCTCTGGGAATTGATGGTATACTAATTGAATCAACAAACTGACGCAGCACCGGAGACTCACTCATGTATGCCAAGAAATTTGGAAGACAGCTAGCTGGCCAACTAATTGGAATAGATCCATATTTGTGCTCATCCTAAAGAGGTGACACAATGGAACACAGAAATCATTAGACAATATCATTAATATTGCATACCAAGTAAAATTTTGCTAAAGATAATTCAAAGATGGCTGCAACAGTACACTGATTCTCCAATGTAATAACTGGAGAATACCAAAAAGATGTTTACCTTTGCTTTATTAACTATATAAAGGCTTTCGATTGTGTGGATCATGACAAACTATGGACACCATTGCAGACAATGAATATTCTGACACTTAATTGGGCTCATGAGGAACCTGTACAAAGTGGCAGCTGTTTGAACAGAACAAAGGAACATCGGATAATTTAAAATCAGAAAACATGTGTGCCAGTGTTGTATTCTTTCATCATACTTACTCATCAATCTGCATGCTGAGCAAATATTCTGATGAGCTAGGTTATGTAAATGAGAACACGGCATCAGGATTGGAGAAAAATTCATTAACAACCTGTGTATGCAGATGACACAAGCTTGCTTGCTAAAAGGAACGAGGAATTATAATACTTACTGATGAAGACCAAAGACTAGAGCCTTCAGTATGGATTATACCTCATTGTAACGAAAACAAAAATCCTCACCACTAGACCAATAAATAGCATTAAAATAGATGGAGAAGAGATTGAAGTTGTCAAAGACTTCATTTTGCTTACATCTATGATAAAACACTCAGGGGCAAGGAGCAGCTTAGAAATTAAACATTACATTAGGCAAATCTGCAGCATAATACCTCTTTAAAAGGTTCAAGAACAAGGATATCAGTTTGAGGACTAAGGTGCACCTGGACCCAAACCATGGTATTTTCAATAACCTCTCATGTATGTGAAAGTTGGACCGTAAGGAAGACCGTACAAGAATTGATGCATTTGAGTTAACGGTGGGAAGAGAATATTAAAAGTATCATGGAGTGCCAAAAGAACAAACAAATCTATGTTCAAAGAATTATACCCAGAATGCTCTCTGGAAGCCAGGATGGCCAGACTTTCTCTCTCATACTTCAGACATACTGTCAGGAAGGACCAGTCCCTGGAGTTGGATATCATGTTTGGTAAAATGGAAGGTCGGAGAAAAAGAGCAAGACCCCAAAGAGATGGATTGGCACAGTTGCAGCAGTGATTGACTCAAATGTAGCAATGATTGTGAGGTTGAAGCAGGCCCAGGCAGTGTTTCATTCTGTTGTACAAAGGGTCACTATGAGTTGGTATCAACTCGATGGCACCTAACAACAACAAAATGCTCCACCACATTCATGGATATATTGGCATCAAAGAAACCTGAATCTATGACCCCTGACCACCCTTCAGGTCTGGAAAGGAACTCACCCTCATGGCCCAGTTTTCAGCCAAGTAGCTGGTAAGTTCATTGGGGGAGACAACAACACTAGCAAGGTATGTTTGCCATGGAATGATCAATCACTTGGGATCAAAAGGGCAACATTTTCCTAAGGACAAACTCAAAAAGGGTTAGAAAGGGAGTTGGAATGTTGTTGAGAACCACAAGGAGGACGCAGCATAACTATTGTTACAAGGAAGAGACTGTAATCATTGAGATGAAACAAAATGTATGATTTGTTGAATGTAAAGCTGATGACCTTGTCTGTAAACCTTCATTCAACTCACAAGTTAAAAAAAAAAAAAAAAAAAATTACAGCTTGGTAACCCAATCGAGGGTGGCTATGAGTGAACCAACCTGACGTCACTTAACAACAAAAAACCCTTCTAGCCGGTGGATTCAACTAACCATCAAAGAATGCTTTTTTCAGCATGAAAATCCTTTCTTGACTTACTGGTCTCATACAGTATTTATAATTTTGGGGATTAATTTCACTCATCATAATGTCCTGCAAGTTCAACCATGTTATATGGCGTTTTGCAGCTTGTTATTTTTCATCATTGTGCAGTATTCCATTGTATGTACCAAAGTTCATTTATCTATTCTTCTACTGACGGGCATTTAGGCTGTTGCCATCTTTTTGCTATTGTGAATAATGCTGGGATGCCATGAGTTATTTATCTATTCATGTTATGGCTTATCTTGCGGATATATATTAAGGGGTTATAAGGTAGTTCTATTTCCAACTTTTGGGGGAAAAGTTATAATGTTTTTTCATAGTGCTTGTATCATTTACAATCTTATCAGCAGTGTAAGAGGGTCCCAGATGCTCCACACCTTCGCCAGCATTTGTTTCTGTGTTTTTTTAACTATGCCATTAATGCTAAGGTGAGATAATATCTGTTCTGATTTGCATCTCTAATGGCAGTGGGTCTTTAGGATACATCACTAGACTGTGGGCCACAAGGTCAATGGTTCGACCCCACCAGCTGCTCCAAGGGAGAAAGATAAGGCTTTCTCTTTCTGCAAAGATTTATAGACGCAGAAACCCTCTATGGGGTCACTATGAATTAGAACCAACTCGATGGCACTTAACAATTGCTAATGACTGACAGCATTTCAGCATATGTGTGTTGGCCACCTGAATGCCTTCTTTGGTAAAATATTAGTTCATGTTCCCCATACAATTTCTAATTGAATATCTGTCTCTTTCTTTTTGACGTGTTGAAGTTTCTGTCCATTTTAGAGATCAGTTCTTTGCCTGATATGCTTGGGTTTTCAATTCTGTTCCAATGATCTGTGTGTCTTCCACTGTACTAGTACCAGGCTGTTTTGACTACTGATCTACATAGTTTTTGGAGTTTCCTTGCATTCTAGTTTTACTGAACTATAAGAAGTTCTTTTTATTTATCATAACAGCTGATTAAGTGCCCTTCCCTCTACTCACCATGGCTAACTCTTAATTGTTCTTCAGGTTACATCTTAAACATTTTCTCCAAAACCTTTTCCTAACCAGCTGACTGTTCCAAAGCCCTCTCTCTTCTCAGGTGTTCTCAAAGCACCATACATTTTACCCCATTATACAAGGTTAGTAAGCATGACTACCAGGGTTCCAGTTCATACATACATGATCAAAGGATGGCTGCAAACAAATTCTCTTGTTTTAGTTTTAGTGTCTTCAAAAAAAAAAAAAAAAAAAAAAAAGGTCCGATAAATACAGTGGCTTCTTAGGGGACTTGCTGGGCTAATTACATTCAAGGCTGAATGGTGAGCTCATAAGGCTCCAGAGGCTGGCTTTCAGCACTCTAAAGGGGTCATTTTGATCGATTTTCTTGAAGAAAACAGGATGATCATGGGGCTTTTGAGTAAGATGTTTTAAGAAAATTGAAAACTTCATTGCCAAGAAAGTTGTATTGAGGAATTTTTTTTCCATCATGACAATGTACCTGCTCATTTGTTGAGCATAGTAGAGACTGTCCTAGAGAGTTACTTTGGGAAACCTTTTCTTATCCACCCTGTAGACCAGATCTTGCCCTGTCTTCTTTTTGTTCTCAAAACTCAAAGAACTTTAAAAAAATTTCTCCTTTTGACCTGGTACAAATTTTAAAATGCAGAATTTTGTGGGTAGAGTTGCAGGGATGGAAACATTGCCTTCAGAAGTGTGTAGACCTAGATTGAGGATCTGCTGAAAAAGAATAGCTGCATATTGATATTTTCATATGATAAAGACCGCTATGGTTTTATAGCAATACTTTTTGACTTGCTGATAGAACTTGTCACTTATCAAAATTGCCCAATGGCCTGCCCAATTCCCACATTAGTCCTTGTTTCTTTGTTGTCAAGATTCATGTTTTTATTTTCTATTGACACCTCAGTACTCAGAACAGTGTCCACCATGAAGCACAATGGGTTGTAAGTTCCAAGAAGAAGTTTTTAAACCACAATTGCTTAATCTTTGTTATTTAAAACTGCCCACACTAAACACTGAAAGCAAAAACCAAATTAAAAGCAAAAGGATCATACCTAAAGGATTCTTTTTATCTTTACATTTTTCTTTGAATTCGAGGATAATTTTTTTCATAAGTTCATCCACAGCTGCATTGGAAGGCGCACACACAAGAACACGGTTTTGTTTGATTTTGGCATTAGAGTTTTCATCTGTATGTCCCTTCCTGTGGTTCTACAATTTGTCACACACACACAAAACAAAAAGAAAACACCAGTGAGCTCTATCATGTAGTTTTAAAGTTGTTCTCTACTTCCATGCATGCTCAAAAATTACCACTTAGTTGAAAAGAAGCAAACATATGCAAATCTTAAAATGACATTAAAATTACTCTGGCATAAAATTTTATCATAATTACTCTGAGCCGTAACTGATCATCCACTTATTTTAAGCAAACCTCAATATAACAAAAATCCAGCCCAAGAATATATTTAAGATGGTTGCCCGGCATTAGACGGAACCTATGAAGATGGAATGCAATCATTCTAGCCTTGAGGATTAGTTTCATGTGAGATAGCGTCTTCTGTTCTTTTTACTTCTTCCAACCTTCCCTTCCCTTCCTTTGCACACCCCCCTTTCTCCAATCTATTTCCACACAACTAATAATATCAAAAATAAACACAAAAGTTAAAGAAAAAAAGAATTTTAATACCAAATTGGAAGTAAAACAAAGCAAGGTATTCAATCAATGACACCAACACCCTCACTCATACTCTACCTCTGTCAGTAGGCGGTATAGGAGGCCAACAATAGTTTTTGACTTTCCTGTTCCGGGTGGTCCATGAATAAGACAGATTTTGGCAACTGATGGTGAGTGTTTCACCATAGCATAAGCAGTTTCTATTGCTTTCTTTTGGTCTTCATTGAAATCTCTTAAGTAAGTAATCTACATAAAAGGCATTAGTGAGATTGAGTTGTTTTTTTATGTACTGACATATGAAATGAACATTAATTAAAACATATTTGGATTTCTTCTAATCGATATCCATCAGAAACTTTGAGTTTGGTTTGGAAAAGACCCTAAGTCATGCTTTAACTTAAGAGCACTTTCACTACGGGAAGGAAAACTTAATTATTATTTCCAAACTTCGTCTCTCATACTTCGGTCATATTGTCAGAAGGGACCAGTCGCTGGAGAAGGATATCATGTTTGGTAAGGTGGAGGGTCAGAGAACAAGAGGAAGACCCCCAGCGAGATGGACTGGCAAAGTGGCAGCATCAATTGGCTCAAGCATGGCAACGATAGTGAGGTTGGCCCAGGGACTGGGCAGTGTTTCATTCTGTTGTACATATGGTTGCTATGATTCAGTACCAACTTGATGGCACATAACAACAACAACAGGCTTTTTGGTCCATTTTACAAATACTACAATTCCATTTTTGTGATACCACAATTGTTATTTTTGTTTGTGATTCTTATAAAGAAGATGACAATAAATTACATTTATTCCTATAATTTTCTTCTAACTATTCTCTGGCTCCTATTTTAATTCTCCCCTTCAACTATAAAAACAAATATTCCAAAATTCTTTCTGAACACAGTATGATATAGCAGAAAAGACCTGAGCTTTGAAGTGATATCCAAGTTTAAAACTGTGTTGCTTAAACTAGTTTACTGAACTAACCTCTATGAGTCTCAGTCTTTGTGATCCATTAAAACCTGAAATTCCAAGGGTGTGAATTCAATGAGATAATATGCAAAAAAGCTTAACTAAAACCTACTGTCATAGAGTTAATTATGACTCATAGGGACCCAATGTTTTATGGTATAGCTGAGAGCACCATAGGATTTTCTTGGCTATAATCTTTTTGGATATAGATCACCAGGCCTTTCTTCTGTGATTATGCTGGGTAGGTTCAAATTGCTGACCTTGCAGTTAGAAAGGCAACCGTTTGTTCCACCCAAAACCAAACCTATTGCTGTCAACTTGATTTCCACTAACAGGAACCCTATAGGACAGAGTAGAACTGCTTCATAGGGTTTCTAAGGCTATATAATTCTTTATGGAAACAAACTGTCACATCCTTCCTTCTCCTGCAAAGCAGCTGTTGTATTCAAACAGATGATCTTTGGGTTAGCAGCTGAGCACTTCAACTACTGTGCCACCAGGGTTCTCTTGGCATCACCTGGACACCTATTATTAGTACACAATAGGGATTTAATCTATACAAACAGATTATACAGTGAGAAATAGTAATATGAAATAACAACTTCATCTTCCCATTTGTAGAATTATCTGTCAATTCTTCTGTCATTCAAATGCAAAATAAATCCATTAAACCTACTCCTACTCCTGAATTTTAATAATCTAATAAATATCTAAGTAGGATGTCAACCTAACATTTCAATATTGTTCTTCAAACATACTTTCAATTCATATTACACTAAACTGCTTTCCTGAATTAAGTTAACCAGGTTACCTTGTAACATTAATGGCATACACAATTTATAGTAAACTTAGCACTAAACAATATCACTGTGCATTCACAGTGAATATGTCTTTGTTGTAGACATACTGAGTATTTACTAGCTAGCAATCTGACATTAAATTTTATAACCTTCCCTGGTATCAAATATTTATTACTTACAATTCTATCAGACGTTGTAGTTAGTAAATCTTTTGTGCAGAAGTCCATGGGATTTGGATTCAGAACAACTCTGGCCAGTTGGTTCCGACCACTCAACAAAGACATGGCTTTCAACTTCCTTTGTGTAGTTACCAAAGAACTGATTACAATACATTTCACAAGTTCATTTAAATTAACTGGAAAATTGTCTTGGGTCTGAATGGAAAGGGAACACTCAGCTTTCCCATTACGCACTATCATCAAGAAGAAAAAACAATTTCAGTTGCTGATGAATATTATTGTCCAATTAAAAAGGTTATTCAGAACTAGTATTTTATAGCTTATGTTTTCCTGCACATTATTTAAATAGTTAATTGAATAAATATTTACTGAATGCCTCCTAAGACCCAGGCAATATTATCATCCTTAAAAAGCTTATTTTCTATAAGGGGGAAATCGATAATCAAGCTTGTCAGATGGTGGTACTATGAAGAAAAAGTATTTAGTACCACAGAGTAAAAGTACAAAAACCAAGGCTGGAGTATGATTTAAGGTATACAGATTATCTGTTTTATAACAAAACCTAATAAAAGATTAAAAGAATGCACCAGAGGGAGAGGACTATTATGAAAGAAAGCTTCTAAATCATAAAGGTTCAGTAATAAATCCTGGCAATTTTCCAGGAAAGTCTATGAAAAAACAGAAAAAGGACACTGGAAGACAAGTCATCAGCACAGCAGCACATGTCTGGTAAATGTATAGCAAATACATGGCTGGTTAAGCACAATTTAGACGAAAAATTGAAAATAAGCGCCTTTAACTTATCTAATAGATCAATTTTCATTGCCTCATTGTGTACTTACTGACTGAAGTGCGGCGAAATTTGTAAACATAACCACAATAGTATTTGTAGGGATCCTGCATGAGATTTCTTTCTGTATCATTCTCTCCATTCAGTCTTTCAGGAACCAAAAATACCAAATCATTTTCTTTTGGATGATACTGTTTCACCAGATCACTTTCCTCAAGATAAACTATGGAACAATAAGAAGTCATCATTTATCTAACTCTTAACAGAATTATTTTTTTAAAGTAACCTTAACTTTAAGAAAATTAAACCTCTGTACAAAGCTTAAATAAGTACATAGCCTTAACAGACTTTGCATATACTTCAAATTGGTATTGTAATCTATTAAAAAAGTTTTCAGGTATTAACCATATTGTATTGTAAAAATTCTCCTAGAAACTGCTGCAAGCCAAACAGCTGAAATCATAATATTCAAGGACAACTAATAAATTTTCTTTCCTTGAAGTTTAGTTTGGTTTTTAATCAAGAGATTCGTTTTCCCTTACTAAATTAAAGAAGTTGCAAAAATAAAAGAGATTGTAGAATTGGTAAAAGGTAGAGACAAAAGAAGAAGAAAAAAGGTAGAGACATGTGTCAACAGAAGAGAACCCAAAAATACACCCACAGATCTAATCAATTGGTTTTTCCATAAAAGTGCTAAGGTTATACAATGGAAAGAATGCTCTTTTCAACAAATACCACTAGTAGTATTAGATACTTATTTTTAAAAAGATATTAACCCACATACTTTATTAAAAACAAAAATTGACTCAAAATAGATATCCATCAAAACATGAATTAAATGGCAAAACTGCTTGAAGAAAACAAAAGAAAAATTTGTAGTCTTGTGCTAAAAGCAAATTATTTCTTAGGACACAGAATCATGAAACAAAAAAAGGAAAAAAATTAAACAGATAAACTGAAAGCCGTCAAAATGAAAATACTTTTGCTTTTTGAAAGACACTATAACAACAAAAAACTTTAAAAGGCAAACTACAAAAGTAAATCAATGGGGAGATATATTCCGTATGCATGGATAAGAAGTGTACTCAGGCTGGTCCTGAAATGCCATTTTCCACTAAAAGACACTAAGGCGCCTTAGAAAATTGGAATGTCAGATATGAAATAGAAAAATATGTATGATAAACCTGGAGCATCCTGTCACAACAAATAGCAAGAAAGTACTGGAAGACTAGGAGGGCCCTGTTTATGAGGCCCAGTAGCCAACTTATAGGTACCAGTTGAAATGGATTTAAACAAAAATATATTTAAAATCTGTGAGTTTGTAATAATATTTATACCCAAAACTAAAGCCCATTAGTTATCCCTAAGCACTTGCTAGTCAATCAATTCAATGTTTGGAAACTGGACAAGCATAAGCATTTATTCTAATTTTGTTTTATAGACTGTGTTACTGGATAACCAAGTAGATATATAAAAATTTCTCTTTATAGAATGATCAAATTAAAATACCTTTATTTTATATCCTATAATGATTTCATGAAACTACGGATATCACAAAAGAGACACTAGATATCATACATCTCCTAATGAAGGAACACAATCATGACCTATGAAATATTTTTGCTAAATAGTTAACATTAAATATTAAAATAAAATCTGAATTTTATCAAGCCTTAGAGCTAACAATTATTATATATGAAATAGGACACAGAAACATACTAAAGAACCATGGATGTACAAATCAGCAAAATTCACACAGAAACTACAGAATAAATGACTTATTCAGCAAATAAATTATAAAGGGGGAAAAATCATAAAACAAAAAAGCATCCACAAATGCTCGTAGGTGCCACCGAGTCAGTACAGACTCATAACCACCCTACCTACACACAAAAGAAGGAAACACTGTCCAGTTCTGTACCAACCTCATAATCGCTGCTACACTTAAACCCATTGCTGCTACCACTGAGCCAATCCATCTTGGTGGGGGTCTTCCTCTTTTTCACTGACACTCCATTTTACCAAGTATGATGTCCTTTTCCAGGGATCTGGTCCCTCCTGATAACACATTTGAAGTATGAGAGATGAAGTGCAGCCATCCTGGCTCTCAAGAAGCATTCTGGCTATACTTGTTCCACCACAGATTTGTCTGTTATTTTGGCAGTCCATGGTACTTTGAATATTCTCCTCCAACACCGTAACTCAAATGCATCAATTTTTCTATGACTTCCTTATTCACTGTTCAACTTTCACATGCACTTGAAGTTATTAAAAATACTATGGCTTGGGTCAGGTGCACCTTAGTCCTCAAACTGACATCTTTGTTCTTGAACACATTAAAGAGGTCTTGTGCAGATCTGTCTAATGCAATAAGTCATTTGATTTCTTGACTGCTGCTTCGATGAATGGTGATGGTTGATCCGATCAAAATGAAGTCTATGGTAACCTCAATCTTTTCTCCATTTATATGGATGCTGTTTATTGATCTAGTGGTGAGGATTTTGGTTTTCTTTACATTGAGGTACAATCCATACTGAAAGCTATGGTCTTTGATCTTCATCATTTTTAAGTCCTCTTTTCTTTCAACAGGCTAGTGTCATCAGATCATCGCAGTTTGTTAAGAATGAATCTTACTCCAATCCTGATACCACATTTTTCTTCACGTAATTCCACTTCTTGGATTATGTGCTCAGCATACAGATTAAATAAGTATGGTGAAAGAATGCAACCTTGACGCATACCTTTCCTGACTCTAAACCATTGAGTATCCCCTTGTTCTGTTCGAAAGACTGCCTCTTGGTCTATGTACAGGTTCCTTGTTAGAACAATTAAGTGTTCTGGAATACTCCTTCTCTGCAATGTTGTCCATAGCTTGTCATGATCCACATGATCGAAAGCCTTTTCATAGTTAATAAAGCAAAGGTCAACATGTTTCTGGTATTCTCTGCTTTCAGGTAAGATCCATCTGACATCAGCAATGACATCCCTCATTCCATGTCCTCATCTGAACCTGGCTTGAACCTCTGGCAGTTGTCAATGTATGGTTGCAGCCATTTTTGTATTTGGCATAATTTTACTTGACAACTGCAATCTTTTCTCCATTTATATGGATGTTATTTATTGATCCAGTGGTGAGGATTTTTGTTTATCTGATGCTTTCTATATTCCATTGGGTTATCTCTTTTAGGAATGGGCACAAATATGGATCTCTTCTAGTCAGGTGACCAAGTAGCTGTCTTCCAAATTTCTTAGCATAGATGAGTGAATGCCTCCAGTGCCACCTCACTTTCTTGACTCCTGGTGCCTTGTTCTTTGCCAATTCCTTCAATGCACCTTGGACTTTTTCCTTCAGTACCATTGGCTCTTGATCATATGCTACCTCTTGAAATGGTTGAACATCAACTATTTATTTTTGGTACAATGGCTCTGCATGAGAGATTACATAGCTTAAAAAGCCTTAAGGCATATTACATAATTACTTAATACATATTACATAATTCCAGTGAGTCTGGTAGTATAGTGGTTACGAATCGGGCTGCGAACCTTAAGGTCAGCGGTTCGAGACTACCAGCTGCTCCGCGGGAGAAAGATCAGGCTTTCTACTCCCATAAAGATTTACACCCTCGGAAACCCTGTACAGGGTCGCTATGGGTCGAAACCGACTCGACGGCACTTAACAACAACAAAGCTATTTTAGACTTTAAATTAAACAAGCTGAAAATAATTGATATTGATGAGATTATACTTGAATAAGACTATCAGATATTAAGAAAATATAAAACTAAAAACATCATTGAGAAAAAGAGAGGAAAACCAAAATCTCACAGCTGTATACCATATTTATGATACTTTTTTGTTGTTCTTGTTAGGTGCCATCAAGTCAGTACCAGCTCATTGCGACCTTACGCACAGCAGAATGAAACACTGCCCAATCCTGGGCCAACCTCACTACTGTTGCCACACTTGAGTCCATCGATGCTGCCACTTGGCCAATCCATCTTGCTGGGGGTCTTCCTCTTTTTCTCTAACCCTCCATCCTACCAAACATGATATCCTTCTCCAGCAACTGGTCCCTCCTGATACTATTGTTCCTTAAAATGCCAGCTTACAATGTTGGCCCTTGGCTGGTGTCTGAGAGATGCCAGTCAAGCTTCTTTAAACATTGAGAGGGCCCCTATCATTCACTAAAAAGAAAGGCTCATGCCATGTTATTATATAAACATTAAACTTACTTAGATGGTTTATGGTAAATATCTGCTTTTCTCTTTGGAGCCTGGAAATCTGGTGCCTAACTGACTACACAAATGCTTTTGATTGTCTGGATTGTGACAATTTATGGACAACATCGTGGAGAATGAGTATTCCAGAATACTTAACTATGCTCATGAGGAACCAGTACATAGACCAAGAAACAGATGTTAGAACAGAACAAGGAGACACTCAATGGTTTAAAATCAGGATAGGGGTGCTCTAGGGTTGTATTCTTTAACCATATCCATTCAATCTGTATGCTGAGCAAATAGTCTGAGAAGCTGGATTATATGAAGAAAAACATAGCATCTGGGGGAAGACTCCTTAACAACCTGCGATATGCAGATGATACAACTGTGCTTTCTGAAAGTGAAAAGAACTTAAAATACTTACTGATGAAGATCAAAGACCACAGCTTTCAAGTACAAGTTGCACCTCAATGTAAAGAAAACAAGAATCTTTACCACTGGATCAATTAATAACATGCATACAAATGGAGAAAAGACTGAAGTTGTCAAAAGCTTAATTTTGCATGGATCAACCATCAACATGCATGGAAACAGCAGTCAAGAAGTCAAATGAAACATTGCATCGGGAAAATCTGTCAGTTTGAGGACTAAGGTGCACCTGATCCAAGCCACAGTATTTTCAATAACTTCAAATGCTTGTGAAATACAGAAAATGAATAAAGAAGACTGCAGAAGAACTGATGCACTTGAGTTATGGTGTTGGAGGAGAATATTCAAAGTACCATGGACTGCCAAAAGAACAAACAAATCTGTGTTGAACAATTATAGCCAGAATGCTTCTGAGAAGCCAGGATGGCTGCACTTCATCTCTCTTACTTCAGACATATTTATTAGGAGGGACCAGTCCCTGGAGAAAGACATCATGCTTGGTAAAATGAAGTGTCAGCAAAAAAGAGGACGACACCACCACCACCACCACCACCACGAAGGATTGGCACAATGGTAGCAGCAATAGGTTTAAGTGTAGCAATGATTATGAGGTTGGTGCAGAACCAGGCAGTGTTTTGTTCTGTTGTCAATAAGGTCACTGTGAGTTGGTACCAACTCGATGGCAACTAACAACAACAACAACTCACAAAGGACATCTATGTGATCAGCTCTCAATGAAAACCTTGGATACTCAATTTCTAATGAGCTTTCTTGGTTAGGCACTTCACCCATGTTGTCACAATTCATACTGGGAGAAATTAAGCATATCCTGTGTTCTCCACATAGAGAAGAATCTTAGAAGCTTGCACCTGGTTTGTTGGGGACTTCTCACCCCGTACCTTTATCCCTTTGCTTACTGTGCTTACAAATCATGAAATTAAAATAGAAAAACAAATAAAACTACACTGTTGAATCATCTGTGTTTTGCTGTGTATATTTTCAATAACAAATGTAGGAAAAAATGTGTATACTGTTTGATCTAGCAATTAAATTTACTCAGTGTTTAAAACAGAGGAAAGCTGTAATAAAAAATGTAGTTGTCTAACTAAAAATGGTTCATTAAATGAACTATGGCACATCTTATAATAGACTAACTAGTTATTAAATGTACTTTTGTTATTTAATAATACTTAAAAGTCATTTACAATATAGTTGTTAAGCGCAGTTGAGTCGGTTCCAACTTGTAGGGACCCTGTATAGGGTTTCCAAGGAATAGCTGGTGAGCCTGAACCGCCAACCTTGCGGTTCAAACCGACTTCACAGTCCATCACATTAACCCACAGCACTACACCAGGAAACCTTCCAATATGTATACTTCATGAGGGCAGGCAGTTTGTGGTTTCTTTATATCTATACACCCAGCATCTAGAATCTCTACTATCAACATAAAGTAAAAAAATAAACACAACTACAAATGCACAAAAACAGAAAATAAATTAGGTAACTGAGACCTCATAAAAAGAAAATACCTTAGGGACTGCAATCAGTGACATGAAACAAAATGTGTATAAATTGTTGAACAGAAAACTGATTTGTCCTGTAAATCTTCACTCCATTCACAATAAAAAGTTAAAAGACAAAGATCAAGATCTCTAATCTGGATAAAGAATTACTTGGTGCCTGTTAAATATATTTTTACAACAGGCTCCAGAGAAGAAATGGTGGTCAAAAGGAAAACAGAAGACAGATCTGATAATATTAAATGAAGTTAGACACTGCAAACAACTTTGTGGCTAAGATAGGTATATGTATCAAGTCTTAGTTCATATCCTGACGCCTAAAACTCCACTCACTAGTATTTTCCCTTTGTAAATTTGTAACTAAAGTAAAGACTGTTGTTGGGATACGGAAGAGATTAAAAATTGTAAGGGAAACTTGTTGTTGCTGTTAAGTGCCTTGAAGTCAGTTCCGACTCATAGCAGCCCTGTACAGGACTTCTGAGGCATGGCTGGTGAGTTTGAACTGCCAGGCTTGCAGTTCAAACGGACCCTGAGGTGGAGTGCTTATCCTACAGCGCCACACGAAGATTCCACAGAAAATTAGCCCAACAAAATGCTTTGTTAAACAATTCTCCAAATGTAACAAACTCAGATAATGTTAAAATCTGTAAGTTAGAAAACTCTTTGTGACTTTTAGGAGAACTGGTGGCACTGTTGGATAAGCACTAGGCTGCTAACCAAAAGATAAACAGTTCAAAACCACCAGCCACTCCACAGGAGAAAGATGAGGCTTTCTGCTCCTGTAAAGACTTACAGCCTTGAAAACTCTATACAGGGCAATAGCAGTAGGCTTGTTCTTTTGTGTGTGTTTGTAACTTTTGGCATACTTTTTTCCTGCCTGTGAGCACAAATCGTTGGTTTATTTCACCTCTCATAAGCCTGTATTGTACCCCATGAATTGGCACACTGTATATACATTTTGCATGTATATCTGCAATGTCTCCCCATTTGGAAATGATTCTATTCTGTCAATAATATATTTATTTTCTAAAATAAAATACTTATGCTCATCAGAAGATTGCATCAAGATAGTAAACAGAACCTGGGGAAAATTTTTCAGGAATAACATATCTAATAAAAGTCTAATCTCTAAAATACATACATAGAAAACTTTAACTGAACAACAAAAAGACAAATTAACTCAATTTAAAAAAAGGGCAAAGGACATGAACAGAAACTTCACCCAAGAGAACATTCAAGTGGCCAACAAATACATGATGAAGAAAGACGTTCCTGATCAGAACTACTAAACTGAGATACCATCTAACCCCACCTAAACCAACACTGATTAAAACAAAACATTATAAGAAACAAATGCTGATGTGGGTGTGAGAATTGCAGTCCATACCCACTACTGATGGGGCAGTAAAATGATGTACAATAAGCAATGGACCTTAGCTAACCATAAAGTTAGCAACTTAACAGCCTCTCTTTAAAAACACTATACAGAGCTGCTTTGAGTCAGAACTGACTTGATGGTACTAACAACAACTATGTAAAATAGTATGGTGCTGTCTCAAAAAACAAAAACAAAATAAAAAACCAAACTAGAAATAGAATTGCACTAGCAGCTCGGGTCTGAAAGAGAAGCTGAAGTTTTTACAGTACACAGTTGGCATGTGAGGTGGGATTTATTTCTCACCACATATTTGACATCGGGGTGGATGATCTATCTCAGTCTCCCTGGACTGGTTTGATAACTACTGGAGATGAGGATGGGATTTGATCAAAAGAACGCTAACAACGCAGATATGCAAAGATATTAATAGAATTCTTTCTGAATGCTAAGAATTGTGGATAATGCTTATCTTACTGTTGGCTGATATTATCTAATGGTTCACAATGAACATGTAGTACTTTGCCAAGAAAGCACTATACATGCTTTTAAATTGACCTACAGAATCAAAAAGAGGTCAAAAAGAGACTTAGGTTTGTGGTTCAAGCCCTTCAGCCACCCCATCGGCAGGAAAAAGATGAGGCTTTCTGCTTCTGCAAAGATTTATAGCCCCAGAAACTCTACACGGTGTAGCTGTGAAACAGAACCAACTCAGTGGCACTTAATAACAACATAACCTAAAAGTGATACTGTTTTAGATTTATGAAATAAGCAAATGCTAGGAAAACTTACTCAGAATCTTCTTCTATGCTTAACAGAAATTATTATAGCTATTAAAGTCACTTCCCTTATTCTCTGGTTCCATTCCTAGCATCCACTGACACTTTTGCCAGTGGTATTCTAATTACAGACTGAAAGAAAAATAATGTATTTTATATTCATAACTTCCCTAGTAGTTATCATCGTAATTAAGAATTTAAACATATTCTTTGTTAAAAGGATGTAAATTCATCTTAGGGATACCTATATCCAGAATATTCAACTAATGATTATATCCCCTCTTAATCAGGACTCTCCAATTATCATTTATCCTAAGCTACATAATAACTTACCCACAAATTCCCAGAATTTTTTATAATCAGCAGGAAATTTCCGTAAAAGCAACTGATGGTAAACCTCTTTTACAGGAGAGCTGATCCATTCCTGTGCCACCTAGACAAAGGCAAAAAAAAAAAAAGTAAGAAAGCAAAACCATACTGGGAAGTCATACTAAACAACAAAATTTTCTAAAGCAAGTAAACAGAACTTAAATTCAGAATCTTAGGTTATTTAATTTGTGGCATTTAATGAAATTATCAGAACTATCAGAATTACCTGGTTTGATTCCACAGCCATTAGTCACACATAGCTATTCAAATTTAAAGTCAATTTAAAAATTTACAATTCAGCTCCCCAGACATACTAAGCCACAATGCAAGCCACACAGCAATATGTTGTATATTGCAGATAAAAAGCACTTCACCATTGCATGAAATATCATTGGGCAGTACTAATATTATTCTACTTTTTAACCAAAGTATCTTCACAATTCCAAAACTACTAAGATGTCTTGCAAACCCTAAGGTTTCCTCACCAACATATCACCCTAACAGCTTCTAAAATTCTCTGCACTTATCTCCCAATCCTTTGACAAATCTCCCAATCCTTTCTGAAATTCAGAAAAGTACCCTTGAGGACTCTCTACGGTAGGGGTGGGGAGCCTTTATTCTGCCAAAATTTTTAACACTGTTTGAGGGCCATACAAAATTATCCACTTAAAAATTAGCCTGCTTTTGGTCAAACATTTAATTAATTGACCCCTAATATGAAGGAGCTCTGGTAGCGTAGTGGTTATGAATCAGGCTGCAAACCGCAAGGTCAGCAGTTTGTAACCACCAGCTGCTCCACGGGAGAAAGATGAGGCTCCTTCTGCTCCCGTAAAGATTTATAGCCTCAGAAACCCTGTTCAGGGTTGCTATTGGTTGGAACCAACTTAATGTCACTTAACAACAACAACGTGATGGGAAAAGGAGCTCTGTGGTAACGTAGTGGTTACGAATCGGGCTGTGAACCTTAAGGTGAGCAGTTCAAAACTACCAGTGGTTCCACGGGAGAAAAATGAGGTGTTCTGCTCCCGTAAAGATTTACAGCCTCAGAAACCCTGTGCAGGGTCACTATGAGTTGGAACCAACTCCACGGTACTTAACAACAACAACGTGCCAGGAAAGAGCTCTGGTAAGCGTAGTGGTTACTAATCAGGCTGCAAACCTCAAAGTCAGCAATTCGAAACTACCAGCAGTTCCACGGGAAAAAGATGAGGTACTCTGCTCCTATAAAGATTTACAGCCTCGGAAACCCTGTGCAGGGTCACTATGAATTAGAACCAACGCCACGGTATTTAACAACAACAACAAATGTGATGCAGTGGTGGTGGGAAGGAGATCTGGTGCAGCACTGTGGGTTAATGCGTCAGACTGTAAAGCCATTTGAAAAGCAAGGTTGGCAGTTCAAGCTCACCAGCTACTCCTTAGAGGGTCGCTATGGGAGGGTAGCTATGGGTCAGCATCGACTCGACAGCACTCAACAACAACGTGATGGGGGTAGTCCTGATGTGGCGCTGTGGGTTAACGCGCCAGACTGCAAAGCTATCCTATACAGGGTCGCTATGGGTCGGAACCAACTCGACAGCACTTAACAACAACAATGTGATGGGGAGTCCTGATGTGGTGCTGTAGGATAGGCACAAGACCAGGAGGACGGTTTGAACTGCAAGGTTGGTGGTTCAAACTTAACAGTCGCTTCTAGGAAACTCTATACAGGGTCAGACCAAATGATTTTACAGTCTGGAGTCCTGGTGCACTGTGGGTTAATGTGCCAAACTGCAAAGCCGTTTGAACTGCAAGGTCGGCAGTTCAAGCTCACCAGCTGCTCCTCAGAAACCTTATACAAGGTTGCTAAGGGTCAGAGCTGACTCAACTGCACTTAACAACAACAACATATGGCCTGAAGGCCAGAAGTTCCTCGCCCTTGCTCTACCTTGCTCTAAGGAATAAAGACTGGTAGTGAATGCTATGTGTTCTGGAGTCAGTTTCAACTCATAGGGACCCTTTATAGGGTTTTCGAGGCCATAAATCTTTACAGAAGCAGAAAGCCTCATCTTTCTCCCAGTGAACCACTGGTAGTTTTGAATTGCTGACCTTAAGGTTAGTAGTCCACCTCGTAATCACTACGCTACCAGAGCTCCTTTAAGGAATAAAGACTACCCTTCTCGAATTGTAGACAGGATACAACTTACGTGAATAAGTCATTTTAGGTTCCTAGCTTTTTAAAAATGACTCCTTTTGCTCTGTTTTTCCTTCCCCTTTTTGACCTCAGGTAAGTAAGTCCTTCAAAATCTTTAATTCACAATGCACTATCATCCTAAGTCTATACAAGGTCATTCTCATTTGATTCTTCTTCCCTTTTTTCCTGATTCCCAGCTCCTATTATAACTACTTCCACTTTAGGCAAGCATTCTACAATGTTTGGTATTAGCATCATCAAAAAAGTTCAGTGTTGTTTGTGTATATGTGTATAATTTTTACAAAAGTGGTTACAATATAAATTTGTTTTCATTTTTTAAGTCTTGCTATTGATTGCTGCACAGTATTCCTTAGTATGAAATTATCACATTGGAGTCCTGATATGGCGCTGTGGGACAAAGCACAAAACTGCAAGGTCTGTTTGAACCACGAGGTTGGCAGTTCAAACTCACCAGCTGCTCCTTGGAAACCCTATACAGGGTTGCTATAAGTCAGAACCAGACTCGACAGCACTTAAAACAACAGCACATTACTTATCCATTCTCCTAACTAGTCCCAACACTACAACAATTCTGTAAGCACTGTGTCCTGGAGTTGGTTCTGACTCACTAATTAAGATTCCTTATTAATGGAACTGTGCACCATGAGTGACACATTTTACTGCATTGACTTTGGTAGACAGCTCTGCAAAAATAAGTATATTAGTCTACGTTCCCATTAAGGAGGCCGGGTAGCACAGTGGATTACAAACTAGGCTGCTAACCAAAAGGTCAGTAGTTTGAATCTACTAGTCGCTCCAAAGATGAAAGATGAGGCTTTCTGCTCCTGTAAAGATTTATAGCTTTGGAAACCCTACACAGGGTCACTATGAGTTGGAACCAACTCCATGGTACACCTCCACCACATTCCCATTAACAGTGCATGATTGCCACAAATAGTATTTTTGGTATTGTTCACTACTCTAATTGCTATTTAATTTCCTATTGTTCTTTTAGAAAAGACCCCTGGTGGCAAAGCTGGTTACCCAAGCTTAGCAGTTTGAATCCAACAAGCCACTCCTTGGACGGAAGGAGGCTTTCAGCTCTCATGAAGATTTATAGCCTCAGAAATCCTACATAGGGTCACTGTGAGTCAGAATCAACTCAATAGTAGTGGGTTTGGTTTCAGTATCTTAGTGAATTTGAGTTAACACTTCATATACTTATTTACCATTTAGGTTTTCCCTTCTGTGAACTGCCTTTGTATTCTTTATTCATCTTCTATTGACTTCTTACTTTTCTGCTGATATACGAAACTTCTTTGTACATTCTAACTATCAACCTCCTGCCAGCTTTGGAATGTTTTAACTCTCCTCTCCCTATTTAACTATAGCATCCTTCACATAATTACCACTGACAAAGCAAAATCTACTTATTATAATTAAGTTTGTGGTTAATGTTTCTTGGGTTTTAATTATACTCTTAATCTAAATAAACATGTATAATTTCTGATATTTTCTCTTATTAGCTTCCCATTTTATCACTCAAATACATGTTTAATCAAAATCCACATGCTGTAAGGCAGGAATATAGCCTAATCATTACCATCAATTAATCTATCCCTTCCCCATAAATTTATGGTATCCTGTCTTGGTGTGGCGCTGCAGGATAAGCAATGGACTACAAGGTCAGTTTGAACTGCAAGTTCAGCAGTTCAAACTTACCAGCTGCTCCTCAGAAACCCTATAAAGAGTTGCTATGAGTCAGAAGTGGCTCGATGCCACATAACATTTATCTAATGAGTAGTCCTGCTGTGGCATTGCAGGATAAACACTGGACTGCTAATTGCAAGGTAGGCAGTTCAAATTCAACAACCACTCCAGGGAAACTCTATACAGGGTCACTATGAGTCAGAATCAACTTGATGGCACACAATTTATCTTATGGAGTCTTGATGTAGTGCTACAGAATAAGCAATGGACTGCTTAACTGCAAGGTCAGCAGTTCAAACCCAAGAGCCTCTCCTCAGAAACCCTATACAGCATCACTAATGGGTTGGAACCAGCTCAACAGCACTTAACTTATGGAGAATGCAGTGGCTCTCTAAGATAAGCATTGGATTATGAACCACAAGGTTGACAGTTTGAGCTCACCAGCCACTCCACAGGAGAAAGATGAGGCTTTCTGCTCCCGCAAAGACTTTTTTTTAAAGCCTTGGAAACCCAATACAGGGTTGCTGTGAATCAGAACTGAATTGAGGGTACTTAAAAACAACAATTTATCTTATACCAAGCTCCATTTCTACTCATCTCCCAATCTATCTGAAGCCCAAACCTCAGAAAAGTTTGGGAGCAAGGAAAAGTAACTTTCAGGACCAAGGGTCTTTATTCCTTCTTACTATTTGTCTGTTCCTGTGCCAATCATACTGGATCTGTTAACTGTGGCTTAACTTTGATATATATAAATGTATCAAAATAAGGTGACTGCATACTCACCACGCACCTCCATCTCCTATTTTTAAATTGTTTCTTTCAAAGCAATTTAATAGATTTTATTCTTTCATACAAAGTTTTAAATAATTTCTCAATCACCTAAAAAAAAATCTTGCTGGAATTTAAACTAAAACTACATGAAATTTATAGATTAATCCAGAAAGGATTACATCTTTACAATGTTGTTTGACCATGAATATGTCATCTTTCTCAATTTCATGTCCTTTAAAAAGTTTCAGTGTTCTAACAATCTCATACATTTGTTAGACTAATTCCTAATCATAGTTGGTTTACAATTATAATTGATCACTTATATTTTCTAGTTGGTTATTGCTGGTATAAAGGAACAGTACTGAATTTTCTGCACATCTATCTTATAGCTAATTACTGATTCCACTGAGGTTTTAAGTAGGTATCACTACAAATGATCAGAACTTTATCCCCTCCAGTTTTATTCATTCTTCTATTTTTCTTATTTTATTTAATGTATCCTGGTGTGGCGCTATAGTATAAGCACTTGACCATAAGGTTGGTTTGACCGCAAGGTTGGCAACTCAAACTCACCATCTGTTCTTTGGAAACTCTATACAGGTCCCTTTTAGTAGGAACCAATTGTGTGGCGCTGTGGGTTAATGCGTCAGACTGCAAAGCCATTTGAACTGCAAGGTCACTATGGGTCAGAACTGACTCGACGGCACTTAACAACAACAATTGTTAAATATTAGCAGCTGCCATCATCTGAACAATTGCTCTGCCAATTGTTGCTTTGTGCTATTTTGAGATTAAACTACTACACATATATATGCTCATGATTAGTTATATGTTCTATGGTTACTGCTCCTTTTATTGATATCTAGTGCATTGAATTTTTATACTGTTAACACAGAGGTTACAGCACAGGGTCACAGGAACATATGTAGATATTTAAAAATAAAACTTGTCAGAACTGAGTGAAAAAATTGTCCACTGCCAAAACAGTGCACACTTGTGCATTAGCATTTTTTGTCAAATACAGAGATCAAATAACAAGTATTTCTTCTATCAGTTGTATCAGTATAGAAAAGACTAGTATTTCTAAAAGTTGAATCTGTTATTTGTCTTTTGTGCTGAGGGATAAAATTCATCACTGTCATTTCAACTGCAATTATACTTAATAATAATTGGAGAGTCAAACACTACATTATGAATTGAAAATAGGATATCAATCAAATTTTTATAAAAAGATGTATGTTGTAGTTGCTAAGTGCCATCGAGTAGTTACCAACTGAATTTGAACCACAGACCTTGTGGTCCAGTACTCATCCTACAGTGCTACACCAGAACCCATTATAAAAAACTCAGAAACCCTATTGCTGTTGAGTCTATTTCAATTCACGGCAATCCTAGAGGACAAAGAAGAACTGCCCCCAGAGGATTTCCAAGGGTGCAAATCTTTATAGAAGCTGACTACTGCATCTTTCTCTCATGGAGCAGCTAGTGAGTTCAAACCATTAATCTTATAAACAGTCCACAGTTTATTCAGACTCACAGTGATCCTGTGTAAGTTTCCAATGCTATAAATTTTTGTGGGAGCAGAGTGTCTCATTTTTCTCCAGAGGAGCAGCTGTTACATTTTAACTGCCAACCTTACAGTTAGCAATCCAGTGCTTATTCTACAATGCCACGAGAGCTCTTTCAAAGTGTCTTAATAATACTGCTAATAATCGTTGGTCTCTATAAATTTGTGGTGGTGGTGGTGGTATTGTCAGCTGCCACTGACTTGACTCCTGACTCATGTACTATAGTGTAAAAATGTTCCACAGGGTTTTCTTGCCTATAATCTTTATGGAAATAATTTGCCAGACCTTCCATCATGAAGTCCCTGGGTGAGTTTGAATTACCAGTCTTTAAGTTAGCAATCAATTGCAAATGACTCATGACACTAAAAAGCCTTTTCTATCTATGTAAATTAGAAATGCTGAAACCATGTTTAAACTGATGGTTAAAGAAAGAAAAATGTAAAACTTCGTGGTAAAGATAGTAGATTGAACCATGCATTACCTTTCATTCTTTTAACTTTTTACTGTGAATCGAGTGAAGGTTTACAGAGTGGATTAACAGCCTTTCATTCTTCTTGTAACCCCACTAAAGCACCCAAGGGATTTTTGAAAATAAGACTAATCCATTAGGACAAAAAGAATAGAAGGAACAAGAGGAACAATATTTGGAAGCTGTAAAGTAGATGGATGAATTGTCACAAACAACTCCATCTAAGCACTTTATTTACAATGACAAATTGTATCTGTGTCTCCTACTAGTCTACTAGTCTTAGGAGGAAAGAGGTTTAAGAACAATGCATGGCACAAATGGCTGTTCAACATGAAATCTAAAACCTAATTTTAAATCAAAATGAGGTCAGTTACTTTAACTATATTCTAATTATTGCTCAACATGGTTAAAAAAAAAAAACAAAAAATCTTTAAAGTCTAGAGAAGCACACAACTGGAACATATACTTACTGTTTCGAAAGTATTCAGTATCATCAATGGAAGAAAAACATTAAAATAATCTCCACAATCTTGAAACCTGACAGGCACAGATCTTGAGATAGACTGAGAAAGACTTGCTGGGGGTCCACACTGATTAAAGTTCACAAACATTTCATATTTCCATTTTAAGACCTCCATAACAAAGGTATCACAGATGGACTGTGATGACGAGAGAATGCTCACTGGAGAGGAAGTGGGGAAAAATTTGCTTTCGCCAAATGAATGTTTGTGACCTTGCCTGCTGGAATTATTTGAAGTCTGAGAAACAAGAACATTGCAAAAATTCTTTCCTTCACCCACTGGCTTCTGAAACATAAGAGAGGCTGGCTGTGGTACTTTCCCAACAGATTGTATCCCATTTGATTTATTTTTTAGTGGTAGTACTGAAGCATTTTCCAAAGACTTGGAAAAATTAGCATTTCGTGAAGTAGTACTTGAGCTAAAAATTTTAATAGTGGTAGGCCTTAAAGGTTTAGATGAGAGAGGCAAGGCTGGTTTACGAAACACATCTTCATCTGTTGCTTTAGCTTCAGAGTGTCTTGAGCAATAATCACTCTGGTTTTTTGTGGTTTCAACACAATCTTTGTGCTTACACTTTTTGGTACTCAAAGATTCTAACTGTAGCAGACCTACAGTGTCTTCTACCTGAACTGCATCTTTTCCATAAAATACTTCTAAAACTGCAGGAGTTTCCATTTGTGAGCACATGTCCATATCTTCAGGATCATTTTGAGTTAAAAATAAATTATCTTCTTCCATATCACTGTTCGATTCAGACACTCTTTCTTTCAAAGCTACCACTGCAGACTGATGTACTGTGAGATCACTTCCACCTGAAGATGAGCCCCCTGAAGTAGAGACAATTATTTCATTTGTTGGTATTCTTCCATTTAACACAGAGTCACACTGGTTCAAAAGACTGGTATCATCAACCACCTGAGATACATATTTTGTTATGGTTTCTGTTTCAGAAAAATTGCATTTTATTAATTGCTTTTTATTATTGTTAACAATTACCTTAGTTACTCCTTTATGATCTAACTGAACAGATTCTGGCACAAATGTGACAGAATTTGATGCTGCATGTGACCCTGCCCTTATGGTATCTGTACTTTTACAATCAAGTCCTTGCTTACTTCGATGTGATCTGGGTCTCAGCTGCCTTCTCAACTGAAGATCTTGACTTGTAAACAGTTTCTTATTATTTTTGACAGATAGAGTTTGAGGAGAAATTAATTTAGTCTTTTTGCGAGTATCAACTTCTCCAACTGTTTTGCCATGGTCACGTAACCGATGTAAACTGTCTAAAGAACGCTGGGACAACTCAAATGCCTTACGTGGAGCCTTTTTCAGACCAAGTTTTTCAACTGTTGACGTTGGTTCAGGACACTGGCGAGATTTCTTTGGTGGAACTACAGCAGGGGTTGTCCTACAACTTAGGTAATTTGAACTTTTACTTGGCCCTTTTCTGGTATCTGAATGTGTTTTCTTAGTAGTTTTAGAAACTGGGACTTTTTTAATGGGTTTTGAGCAAGAACGATGCTTTGGAGAAGACTTCTTCAGTGTAACCACAGTAGCTTTCTGCATATTTGAATTGGGTGTTGTATTCCTTTTATCTGTACCTTTAAAATCAGTCTCAGTAATATCTCTCTCATTAAGAATATCAAACTGGTCATTTCTGACAGAAGATAAAGATCTTAGGGTATCTTCCGCCACAGGTTTTTCAAATCGTTTTCTTTTAGATTTTACTTCAATTTTACAAAATTCTTCAACAGAAATACTATTACTCTGTGGTTTGGTGTATTCTTCAAAACTCTCTATTTCTTTAGTAACCTCTTCAGGTACATAATCAGGATCATAACCCCAATCATTTGTGGTATCACCTAAATGAGTCAAAGGTGATTTTTTTTCATCCTCTTGAACTGAATTCTTGTGATCTGGTTTATGATCTTGCCAAACTGAAAAAATCTCATGTTGACTTTCAAATTCAAAAATCTGAGACTCAGACTCCTCAAATTGTGTTTCTTCTTCCTTTATTAGTAGCTTTTCCACAGGAGTAGTAGCTACCAAAGCATGCTGCTCTGGATATTGTTTCTCAATACGTATTTTGTCTTTTTTAATGTACTTCTCAAAACCTAGAATTTTTTGATCACCACTACCATCATCATCATCATCAGAATCTGAAATAACAATAATCTGTCCACAGCAAGACTCCTTGACAAGAGTAGATGCATTTTTTTGGTAAGCTGTGAAACAGCTATCATCTTTTACTTTTCTTTGAAGCTGAGATGAGCCTTTTTTTGGAGTTGAATCAGATGGAAACTTTATAACACTGGCTTGAGCTATGAAAGACAATTTGAGAAGGTCTCTGTCTATCTGAGAATCTGTTAAGGTTTCAGACTTAGGAATGATGCCAGAGGCCTGTTCTCTTACCAAGTCAGGTAACTGATCAGTACTCTTACTCATTTCCTTATCCTTTGAATCAAGTATAGTCACAGTGTCTTTAAAGGAACATGTTTTTTTCACTAAAGTATTGGTTGCTTCAGTAAATGAGATCAAATCTTTACCAACATGACTTATCTGTATCTGACAGTCGTTATCATGGGAAGAAAAAATATCTAATTTTTCATTCTTTAACTGTTTATTTTTCAGCAATAAATTATTTTGAGATTTTTGACCCCCACTTTTATCTTCAAGAATATCATGAGGATCTAAACATAGATTGTGTGTGATGCCATCTCTTTTCTGACCTCCAGTATCTTTCCTTGAATAGGAACGTTCAAAATTAGATACGATCAGGTTTTCTTCTAACTTAATTACATTATTGACCAGAGTACTTTTCCGGCACTGCTTCTTTATTACATGTGGTAACTTAGCACAGATTTCATCTTTTTGAGCCCTAGCTTTTGGTTCATTTGATGTTTTTTCCAGGGAATCAAAGCTAGGATCAGTCAACATACGTGTTGATTTTATTACTCCACCTCTGTCACATCTCCGTTCTGGATCACTTTTTGAAGTACAATTCTGTGATGTACATGCAGGGTTCTCTTTTACAGACTTCTGCTTTCCTGTATGTATTGTAATTTGATCTTGAGCTCTTTCAGTAATAAGGTTTTTACTGTGTTTTAAGCATGATTCAGCTGAGAGATGGTCTTCTAGTATTGAATCCTTTATATAATTCTGCTCATAGTCCTCTGCCACAGTGTTACTCGCTTTGATCAATACATTCTCTTGCACTTGATGTGTGTCAGCTTTCATTGGTTCTTTAGAAAATGTTGGGCTAGAATTTTCCAGATAATGCATGTTGTCTTTTTTAATCTTCTTACCTATTTGTTCACTTTCTTCTTTATTATAAGATGCAGGAGGAGTTTCACATGCAAGAGTCAGATCTACAGAAGTATTACTCTGAGGTACTTTGACTTTTATGTTTCTAATAATTTGCTTTAGACAAGTTTGTAATTCATGGGTCTCCTGAATAGTCAATTGCCAACCTAGAGATAAATTTCCTCGCAGAAATAAGTTGAGCTTATCCCAGAATCGCTTACAAAGAGTTTGTTGCCCAAGCTGATAACCTTCTTTAAGGAGACTTCTAATCAGCTGTACACAAGCAAGCTGTACAGAGTTAGATGGCACTGAATGCAGAGACAAAGATGTTATTACTGCTGTTCCTTTGGCACAATTTCCAGATGATTTCTCAGAACTTCGTGAAAATGCAGCAGTAGGCAGCTTCGCACACTTTACAACGGCTTCCACCCACTGCTGGGAACTAACCCACAGCAAATGCAAACATTTTCTATTTCTATGCAGTTCAATCACTGACACCAAAATTAGAAGAAAAAATTCAGTGACTTTGTCACATACGGCATTTCTTTGGTTGAGAACATCTTTGACTTCGGAATGCAGATGATGAATAACCTCTACTATATAAGCCACACCCAAATCCTTAAGGTCCATGAGGGACTGTACAAAAGGAATGAACCACAGAAATGTGCTGTTATGAACACGCATGTCTTGACCAATATCTGACTGAAGGACACTGGCTAATGTTTCCATTTCTTCATACATGTTAGGACAATAATCTGGGCAAATAGCTGATCGCCATCCTGCATCCTAAAATGAAAGAAATATATTCAGATAAAGGAAAGTACCATTCAATAAATTTACCTTACTCCATGATAGGTTTCACACACTAATTTTAAGGAAGAGCCATTTCTCAATGTCCCTATCGTGATCAACTATATGTGATTTTTAATATGCATACATCCTCATGAAGTTAAAAAACTAAATTTGAATTTTGAGACTAATGTTCCATGAAAAGGCACACTTCCACCACCCAGCATGCTTTCCAATTCTGATTTTGTTTTCTCTCTTCCCAAACTCCATAAAGTTTTATATTCTCCCTATTTCACCTAAAAATTCATCTTCAAAAACCATTTTTTTGTCCCCATGCACAATGTTGATTCTGTTCAGCTGATTCGGAACAATTATATATCGTAAAATAAGGACGTCAACTAGTTATACAAATCACTCACCATACAATATAAAGTCAATACAAAATCAACTGAATTCTCAAAATGTTTTATACCTTCTTTGTCTTCTCAGGATTATAATTGTACACAATCTGGCTGCAAGTCACCATATCATCCAAAAATGGCTCTGGTTCTACCTTGGTCCTTAAATATTAAGAATATAGAGAAATTACTGAAATGAAGACAAGAACCATATTCTTAAATCAGTTGCAACAGACTTGCTTACAGAGATTATTTTTAAACCCTGACATTCACACAACTAACCTTACAGAGCTGTTTCGTATATTCTGGATCTCTCTGTTGTAGCTCACATTGTTGATAATAGTCTGAAATGCCTCAATAGGATCAATAAGTTGACCCCAGACCTTTGATCCAAGACGATCCAAAATCACCATGAAACAGTGTAATGCTGGCCAAAAAGGGTCCACACTATCATCTGAAATATAATGGAGCAATTGCTAAATTAACAAAACAATTAGAAAAGCCAAACAAACATTCTTTACCTGGGAAGCAACAAATCTGAAAGCAAAGCAGCAATTAACTTAAAACATTGCTAATCTACAGAAACACAGATTTTCAAAACCTGGCAAATTAAAAAAAATTTTTTTCTCTCTCTTTTCAAGCAATACTATAATGTTTCCGTAAAAATTTCTAAGTGGAAAAACAAATTGAGATGCTGTTAATGACATCAAGTCCTTTTTGAATCACAGCAACCATGTATAGGATTTGCAAGGCTGTAAATCTTTGTGGGAGCACAAAGTCTCACCTATATCCTGCAGAGCGGCTACTGTGCTCAAACCATCAGTCTTGTGGTCTTCAGTCCCATGCTTATATTACAGAGTCTCTGCACTCACCACAGATTGAAATAATAAAGGCAAACAAAATCTCCGCACCTCACTTACGACACCTGAAGCAATTTTATCTACTCAGTTCCTTAACTCCTCCTAGTAGAGGGGTGGGGAATGTCCAACCTGATGACACACACAATGCAATATCATGCTAAAGCTGAATTTCTTGTATCATTGACTTGTTCAAAGATACAATAACAAATCCTACTTTATACTTAAACAAAAATTTGTTAAGTGCCACTTAGTCAGTTCTGACTTATATAATGATCCTGTAAAGGAACAACTACTGGGTTTGAGCCACTGGCCTTACAGTTAGCAGTTCAGTGCTTATTCTACAATGCCACACCAGAACTCATCAATAAATAGTAGAAGTAGAAGGAAATAAGGAAAGAAAAAGAAAGAGAAACTTAGTATTTCTAGTTTTCAATAAAGTCCATGATACAAGAAATCTAGCTTTATAATGATTTTGCATTCTGTGTGTCATGAGACTACTACAAAGCACTAAATCCCTTAGTGGGAAAGCAGAGCTTCCCTGCTTTGATCCATCAGTATCTTTGTTGTTATCTACTTTTCATCCAATTTTCAGGAATTTCATTACTCTCAAGCTCTTATCTCCAGACTTTCCCTCTTCTTTATCAGATATACAGTGGCAAGACACTGTCCTACTCACAAGATCTTCAATGGCTCTTCAATGTGTCAAATAAAAGTAAATCCAAACTTAGATAAACAAACAAAAAAACCCACTACCATGGATTCTGACTCATGCCATCCTGTATAGGGTTTCCTGTGGAGCTGCTAACCTAGCAGATAGCAGATAGTAGTGTGGTGCTATAGGATAAGCACTCGATAACAAGGTCAGTTTGAACTGTAGGGTTCAAATTCACCAGCCATTCCTCAGAAGCACTGTACAGGCTCCCAATGAGTCAGAACCGACTCCATGGCACTTACAACAACAAAAACAAGCAACTTAAAGAAGAGCCTTTAAACAGAAAGAATAATAGACTGCTGCAATAGGGACATTCTACAATCAGAAATCTTCAAGCATCTCAAAACCCCACTGAAAACAGCTTCCCCCCCCTTAGAAGTAGATTAAAGCTTTGGAGTCTTGGTGCAGTACAGTTGTTGTTACCTGCGTGGAGTTGATTCCGACCCATAGTGACCCTGTACAGGGTTTCCGAGGCTGTAAATCTTTAGAGGAGCAGAAAGCCTCAGCTTTCTCCTGCGTAACAACTGGCAGTTTCAAACTGCTGACCTTGCAGTTTGCAGCTTGATTTGTAACCACTATGCTACCAGAGTTTAGGACAGAATATATCTGCCATCAAAAAAGTGCTAATAATACTAACATATTTCTTATACAATCGCTCACAAGTGCGATCATAGTGAAATTCAAGTTGCTTGAAGATAAGAGAAATGAAGGGGGAAAACATGTTTTTTATAGGTTTTGGCATTAGTCTTTACTGATTCATTGCTTCATAAAGAAAGTTAGAAATAATTATTTAAATACAGATCCTCCCAGATCAGCTTGATAAAAGTCATCATCAGATCAAGTCTTCTGTCAGATATTAAACATAATTACAACTTTTTGGACTATCTAGCACTGCACTATCCAAGAAAACATTCTACAACAATGTAAATGTTCTAGTCAGCAGGCACAGGTAGCTACTGAATGCTTGAAATATAGCTAGTGAGACTAAAAAAGCAATGTTAATTTAAATTGAAATGGACACACAAAGGCTTAGTAGTTGCCATGTTGAACAGTGCAACCCTAGAGAACGAAAGTAAATATGAAGAACGTGGAAGCTCTACAATGTTACCATGTCATTAAATATTTATCTCCCAAAGATCATAGTTTGGAGTCTACCATTAGCTGGGATTTTGTCTTAAAGAGAATTGTTAAATTCTAAAGGTCTTCTCCATTTAAAATTGTGAATCTGTGAATTAAATCATAAAACATTAACAATTCTAATATTTTTCCACACCATACATCAAAATTCTTGCAGCGACACTAGTGTTTTCATATTGTCTTATTATTAGGCAGTAGACAGATATTGTTGTTGTTGTTATGTGCCATCAAGTCGGTACTGACTCATAGTGACCTTATGCACAGCAGAATGAAAACACTGCCTGATCCTGGGCCAACCTCACTTCTGTTGCCACACTTAAGTTCATCGATGCTGCCACTTGGCCAATCTATCTCGTTGGGGGTCTTCCTCTTCTTCTCTGACCCTCCACCTTATCAAACATTATATCCTTCTCAAGTGACTGGTCCCCC